CGAGATTTACATAAGTGTTATGACATAAACTCACATGAGTGACATGTTAGAAAACGATTAAGTGTCCGAAACATAGACTATATAAATTAAACGTCCAACTCATGGACTGAATATAACCGTTGTCCAATGCATGGACCGGATGTGACCGTTGTCCAACGCATGGACCAGATGTGACCGTTGTCTAACGCATGGACCGGATGGTAATGCATATCCAGCACGAGGATTAAAAATAGCTATGCATGTCCAACACGAGGACTAAGAGGTAATGCTTGCCCAACACGAGGACTGTGGATTTTAGTCCAACACGAGGACTGTGAAATGGTGAAAATATCACCGAGATACATAGTGAAATCTACCTATATCAATTCACAGTCAAAACAGTGTATATATCCATAATTGGTACCCTCAGGTCTTCTATCATGCCTGGGTACATAGTAAGACCAAATACCAATGTCAGATAGTCCAGGAAATCACTCGAACCTGAACAAATATTCAAAATGAAAAATGCAGCAGAGAGTTCGGCGGTCGACCGATCCGGTCGACCGAACCCTGACACGATTCTGGCGGTCGACCGCTAGGCATATCGGTCGACCGACCAGACGTCGCGGTCGACCGGATAAATATCACGGTCGACCGAACCAACGTCGCGGTCAACCGAACAAACGCCGCGGTCGACCGAACAAACTTGGCGGTCGACCGAAGCCCTAAAACGAGCTCAGCGGTCGACCGCTCCGGTCGACCGCCAAGCGGACAGAAACCCATATCTGAGTTTCTGTCAGCTTGAAACCTGAAACAAAATTTTTGTTAAACAAAATCTAACTTGTAGAGGTGTCATGAATCAGTAAAATCGTGAAAATAAATCTTTAAAACTTTGCCACCAAGATTCCATAAATGTTTAGACATGATTTACTCATCGTTAACAATAAAAACAGAGTTTTTACTCCTTTCCTAGGTATTTTTAGATCTAGATCTGTTAACAGAAAACGTTAGTGAGTTTTTTAAAACAGATAAAATCCCAAATCCATATTCTATGCCACAATACTCTATTAGCTATTTTAAAATACGAATTTGGCTCCATAAAACCCAATAAAAACTTAGTTCTTGACATGAAAACGAAAGGGGTGGGGGTTAGGCGAGAAATTACTCACTTTGGGTGTTGACGAAAGCCCTAGATCTGCAGGAGGTTGATTCTCTACGCTGCCAATCCAAAATCTCGCTGAAAAATCCTCCAGATCTCCTCCTAAGCACCAAATCCAGCTATTTTGATTTTCAGAACTCAAAGGGGCTCCCTCTCGTGAACAGTAGTATATATATCCACTCACAAAACCCGACCCGAAACCCAATAGACCCGAAACAGAAACCGCAAAGAAAATAAAACCTGAAACTCTTTGTACGCTGGTCGGTCGACCGTACCGGTCGACCGCCACGGTCGACCGCGTCGGTCGACCGCTCAGCACAAAAATGCCTTCTGTAGGCATTTCACCTGCTGGCCATAAACCACTCGATTTCTCTCACTTGTAAACACCCGCTGGGTTCCCAAACACTGATAAAAACATTCATCTGATATATATATGTATATATTTATGATTATTCATCATAAGAGAATTATTTACTATTAATAATTCACATATATTTATTATAGAAATTTCCGGGGTTTTACATGTGATCCATTGAGAGAGAGCTTAATTTTTGTTCTCATTCATATTAGAGAGCAAATCTTGTATTTGCACTTTTATTGAGAGAACATGTTGTAATACACAAGGATACTTAGAGAAGTTGTTAGGAGAAGAACATGGTCAATTCCAAGAGGAGTGACTTGGTTGTAAAAGACTAGGAAGAGCTAGTAATTCCAAGCACTTGAGGAAGGTAACATGGGTCGGCCAACACTTAAAGAAGTGTATTGTGTGATTATCAACGTGCAATTGTAAAAGTTTTCGGTGAGCTTTGAAAACCGAATTGTGCAGTTATTATGTTGATAGTGGAGAATCTCCTCGAGGTGAGGAGAGGAGACGTAGATCGAGTGTTAGACCGTACTCTATGATCATATTTGTTGTTTGTGATTGCCTTGGCGTATTATTCTTGTGCTCATTATTTATCATATTTCTATATCGCCATTCTCTCATAGTTTATATCGCCTATTATTTAATTATACATCCTTGCATATATCACTTGTGTATATCATGTTGCTAGGATTTTGTTAATAAGTTTTAATTTGGCATTGATGTCGGATTAGATTATTAATTACCCTATTCATCCCCTCTCTAGGGTACTTTCAGAGTCATCATTAATCTTTAGTATTTATTTTTTTTGTTTTAAGTCTATCAATAATTAAGATGTCTTGTAGTCATGTGAAAAGTATGTATTCTGTGCTGAGCTTATACAAACCATCTTAATATTAAGTACTTGGTTATATTTTTATAAATACATCAACAATATATTGTTGTATTTTTTTTCAAACTTAAGGCTATATTTAATGACTAAAATAAACAAATTGGAGATTAACGATTTGATCCCATAAATAAATATGTTACATGAAGTTAAAAAAATAAATGTTGTGTATGCAAGTATATAAAAGTATATTGATCCCATTTTTACACATAAATCTATTTCATAATTTAAAAAAAAAATAAAATTTATAGAAAATATAATAATCTATGTTTATAGATTTTAGCTCAAAATAAACCTGACTTATTTTATAGTAAGAAAATAAATAAATAGTAATAATTTTGATATTTAACCACGTGCGTTGTACGTGCACAAGAACTCTGATATTATTTTATATATCCTTTAAAAGAGGGAGTTCAAGAAAAACTTTACCCTCCCCAAAATAACCCTCCACCAAATTTAGTTACCAAACGTATCCTCAATTGATAAGCCACTTTACTCTTTTTCATCGGTTACGATCCCAACCCCTCATCTCTCTCCATCTATCTTGGCCTCTCCTTCGCCGTCTTCTTAGGCTTCCTCCCCAAATCCTACATCCCCTACCTCTCCTCTCTCCAATCCCGCAACCGAATCCTCAGCCTCAAGCTCTTCCAGGCTAAGGACCAGCTAAAAACCCTAAGGTCGAGGAGGTAGGAGGATTCCAAGGCCAACGCCCGCGTCGTCGAGATCTGATCGAGTCGACGAACGAGGAGATCGAGGGGTTGAGGGGGAGGGTCGGGGAGCTCAAGAGAGAGGTGAGGGAGAGGGACGAGATGTGGATCTCATGGCGGCGAGGAGAGAGGAAGAGGAGGAGCACGAGGAGGTTAGGGTTACGGTTTCGGAGGGGTTAGTGTTTGGGGAGATGAACGAGATGGCGACGGGTTATTACGCAGGGGAGAAGGAGAGGGATTCGAAACGATGGGTGGAGAGAGCTGCCAGCGGGCGGTAGCAGGTAAATAATTTTTCCCTTCACTTTTCCTTTTTTTAAGCAATTTATCAATTTTGTTTGTTTTAGAAATTCAGGTATCCTTTATGGGAAAAGAGCTATTAGGAATTTTTGTTATCCTTTTTTTTCTCGTAAATTTTGATTTTATTTTGAAAATTCTTAGTCTGTGCGACATCTTTCTTAATTCTTAGAATTCAAATAAAAGTAGGTATGATGTTTTGATATGTGATTAATTTCATTATGAAATTTTTCGTATTTTGAAATTAAGCATAACACCAACGTAATTGTTTTCTCTGAGGCAATTTAGGTTCTATGCATTGGAATTTAGTTTATTTTCTTGCACTGCAATTAGTTTTTACGACAATTGATATTTTTCTAATTTTTTCAGTTTTTATGCATTATTTACAGGATTTAGGATTTGAAGGTTGCTGAATCTCCCATCTATCAAGGTAAATATTAATGTTTGATATAAAATTAATTTGGTTTGTTGGATTATATATATATTTTGATTGAATTGAAATAGAAAATAGAAACTTTTTCTTTTGCTATGCATGCTTTTATTTAGTTTAAGTAAATGTTAAATGCCTAACTTTTAATTCAAAACAAACCTAATTAGCATCCTCAAGGCATCATCATTTACTACTTGGGTGTTGGATGGTTTATTCTTAGGCTTGAATTAAAAATCAATAATAGTTTAATTGTCAATATAGTTTATAGTTCTTATTGAAGAATTATATTGTATTGCTTTTCTTTAAAAACTTATGTTGTGGTGATTAAGTATATAGATCAATGATAATCTACTTCATTTATATGTTTTTTCATGCTTTGTGATATAAACCTTTATAGTTTGTTACATGCATGATATTATGGGTCGCCAATTGCATATATATCATTGTTCACATATGTGATTTTTCTATAAAATACGAAGCATATGCTATCTTCAAGGCTCTCTGTTCAAACCAAGCTTTATGTTAACAAGTATCCGTTATTAATTAATAGTGTTCTTTTATTCACTACGGAAGCTTTTTGCTTCCAATGATTTAATATTTTTACAATCTGATCAAATATGCATGTGGTGCAAAAAATTCCATTGAATTTTCACGTTTATAACTTTTCAATTCGATTGATGTGTACTACTTACTTATGATGGTAGTCCAAAATATCTTCAATTATTCCTTCACATTAATTTGTACCATGCTAAATGTTCATCTTCAAAGCAAGACACCTAATGACATGTTATAGTGAAGGCAACTTTAGAATTATCATAAAAATGAATTAATCTTCAAGAGTTAAGACTTATAGGGTAAGTGTATTCTCCAGGCCAATACATTATCAAAAGGAATAGACCAAAACATAATAATTATGAAAAGTTGTACATTAGATCCACATTTCCCCCCTTTCTTGGCTAATATGATTTATATTTGACAGGTCAAGAAAGAAGTCAATGATAAAGTCCTGGAGCTGGAGCAGAAGTATAATAAGATCTGTGGGCTTGTGTACAGCTAAAGGAATGAGGTTATTCAATTTATTCCAGAGATTTAGTTAATTGTACGTTTATAGACAGAGGTATTTGATTCATGGGTCTTGCCTTTTCTAAGACCTTTATCCAATTTCTATTTTTCTCTTTTCAGTTATTGTTTACTTTGACCACTTGCCTATCTGCAAAATTAGCAAAAGGTAAAGATTTTTTTTATTGCTAACTTTCATTTCTGGATATTTTGGGGGCTTATTGGTAATTGTATTGATAGCTCTTATTGCTTATGGTCCTTTTGATCATTTAGGTGCTTATTCAGCTTTTGGGAAGGCTAAATTCTTTGTCATAGTTTGGATTCCGCAAGCTTTAGTGCTATAAATTTTGTAGATAAGTATTATTAATGAGTTTGAATAAATGGATGCGCCTAATAGGCCTTAACGTGCTTATAAAACGAGAAACCTAATGTTTCCTCTTTTTCGAGACTTTTTAATGACTGAGTATACATGGATAAATATTAACTATTCATATGAAGATAACAGGAAGCAGTTTGGAAATTGGTGTAATCTGTGTGTTTTAGTTATGCTCATAAGCTTTTCTTTTGTCTTGTCTTGACAGTTTCATGTTATTTTGGGTTTCAGATTTTTGTTTGATCAATGAAAGCTAGCCGTCCATTACATCTTCTTAGCGGTCATGGAGGACTTTCTCATGCTTTGATGTTTTTTCCTACAAGTGTAAGTCAACTCCCTTTCTTTCTTTGTGGTTCATGTTCCTCTGCCAGATGACAAGGAGATTGAGAGGATGGTGTTGGAGAAGAAGAAAATGGAGTTGTTGAACAAGTATACAAGTGATATGTTGATAGAGGAACAAAGTGAGGCTAAGGACATGCTTAACATCAAGAGGTAATTGTCATTTATATCTTAAATGAGATTACATTTCCCTGTACATTTTCTTTAGTTTAGTAACCCCCCTACCCTCCCACCCCCTCCCATTTTTGCTATCTGTAGAAGCTGACATCCATGGTTTCATAAAATGATTAAGTTGAAGTACACACAAATTGACATTACATACCTAATTTAACTTTTGAATCTACTTCAAGGAATGGAAGTAGATATGTTGCGTCAAATGTTGTACTTTTTAACCCCTACAAATGAAAATTCAACTATCATTCTCAACTATCATATCTTCAACTATCATTCTCAACTATCATATCTTTAACTAAACATTGGAAATATGAGTCAAATGTTGTACTTTTTAACCCCCCAAATTTTCTCGAATTTTTTCAATTATCCGTCAGTAATTTGATTATTTCTTTGCTTGGATGTTTGTAGTCGTAGAAGTAATCACGTTGGATATGCACTTCATCGTCTACAGTTTCCTCAGACTCCAACTGGGGAAAAGGTACGTTCTTCATTGTATTATGAATTACTTGGTTTTGGGGTTTTATTTTATTAGGACTAAACTATGTAGGACAATGGACGAGTTGAGTTCAAAGTGGCATCTTTTATATGAATAAGAGGAATTTTCTCGCGCTGTTGCCGCGGCAGTGTACACTGCCGCGCACCTTCGATGTAGTTTGCGACCTCTCGGGTATTTTGGCTCTAACTTCCTCGTACGATGTCGGAATGAGGTGATCCAAGATGCGTTGGAAAGCTATCGAAGAGATCTACAAATTCCCATAGGAATATCACTCTGTTTGTGTGTACAACACCTTCCACTACCGCGCAAATGCGCGTCAGTGTTTCTTATCGTGGGTGTTCATATTGTTCTTCTATGTTGTTTCACATGTTCCTTTGCTTCTTTTGGCTTTGGATGATTTCCTCTAACTTAGATAGGGATATTCATATCTATAGGCATTTTTATACGCCTACAGATATCCCCTCCAAAGTATCTCAGACTTATTCTTTTATAGAGGAGTCTGGGACACTTTGGATAAGATAAGTCTTACTTGCAATCCCTTCAGTATTTAGTTGAGAAGATCGTGTAGAAGGACCTGTGAATGGCTTCAACTCTTGACTTCTTTATCTTTTAGTCTACTCAGTGCTTTGTAGAATAGCTAAAATTCTTCTGGTGCTGCGTTTTTCGCTTGACCATTGTCAAAGTCTTGAACTGAAACTGATGTTTTGATTTGTGAATTAGCTCTTGTCGTTGAACTAATGTTGAACTGATTGTCTTCATTAGGAATTCATATCTGGATCGCAATTGAATCCACTGAGATCATCCATTGGACTTTTTTCCTTAGCTTTATTTTGGCGAAAATCATTGATGCGTTGACAGGCGTTAACACAGTTTATCCTCGTGTGTTTACTGGAGTCTACACAGTTTAAGCTCTTAAGACGTTGGAGCATGGCAGTCTTGAGTATCGAGACTGCAGGACCAATTATTCAGGTCGGTTCATCTGCAGGTATGGATTTTACCCTGAGTTTGTTGTATACTCAAGTCATGAGACCAACTAATGAAGCTGGTGCGTCAGTGATTATCGTATTTATAGGATTTTTGGCAAACCCTCAGCCATTAACGGATTTGATATGCCTTTACCGACGACCGTTTGAATCGGGCTAGTATGTAAAGTATCTAAATCCGTTTCACACATAACGTTGGACTAAAAGAATTAGACTCTTTTAGATTTTGAACTACAATATTGAATATGTAGGCTACATGTGTTAGATGTAGGCTTATCTCTAATAAGGGATCGAGATAACGTCCCCCATGCTTGAACAACATGGATTTTTGCCTAATGAAAGAATTAGGTATTCTATCTTTCAATCTCTTGTTTGTTAGTAGAGATGAACCCAAAATCAGAGAGGAAGAATTTTATATTCTATCTCTCGATCTCTTGTTTGTTGGTAGAGATAAACCCAAAATCGGAGAGAAAAAATTTTATATTCTATCTCCTAGTCTCTTGTTTGTTGGTAGAGATGAACCCAAAATTAGAGAGGAAGAATTTTATATTCTATCTTCTGGTCTCTTGTTTGTTGGTAGAGATGAACCCAAAATCGGAG